TCTAGAAAGGGTGCATCAAACATTGATGGAGGGGTGGTATTATGTTGACAAACTAGAAAGTTAGTTTCTGCAAAGGTAGAAAAATAAAAGTACACATACATTATAGTGTTGCAGAAACAGATGCAGTACTAGTTCTAATAAAAAAAAGCTTTATTTCCTAGAAAATTACTTCCATTTTAAACAGTATATGAACAACAAATGAGGAATCTTGGGCACACAATATACCGACATTGCACATTATAATTACTTGCAAGTGGAAAAAGAAGATGGCCACAGGGTTGTGTCCAGTCTCCAGAGGGCGCCATCTATTGAAATCGGGTTTTGTCAAGCGAACCTCAGGGATTACGGTACAAGATGAAAACTTTATGGGAGCTCTTGGCGAGATGTTGAATGTCACCATTTTTAGAGTCTCTCTCTGGCAGCCTCTCACTGAATATTTTAGTTGTTTTTTTCCCATAATAGCGCGCATCATGATTTTCTAGGATTCCCATTGCACGACAGATTTCAAGAAAATAGCGATTACTCGATCTTCAGTTTTCACATCGCATTTCATGTGGCATTAGTCTTGCACAGAGTCACTTTGCTTATGCAATTATATCTTTAAAAAATATTTCGGTAAGATTTGATCATTTACTGACCAATATTTAATGCACAACTTTGATGTACCAGTAGTACATTCTGATATTACAGTACATGTACCGTAATGCCCGACAGCGTCCTCTAATCACATCTGATGAAACTAGGCATGTTTACAGTGCAATTGCCTGGACCTCACTACATTTAACTGCCATTGCCATATTGTTCCGAACACCAAAACATCAATATTGCATAGATTAGAACAGTTTAGTTCAAATGACTTTTAGGAGGGTGTGCCATTCGACTAAATGCATTCATTTACACGCATCAGACACCATCGACTGTGTCCTGACATTTCATACTATGTCAGTACATACATTTTGTTTGCCATTTATTATATAGAAATGTATATGACTGAATGAAATAAACTAAAATGGCATTGTAATCTTTTATTTATATTCAACGTGTCAAAGTCCCCCACTATTAGTTTGATCCAACTTGTTCTAATCAGGTAACGATCTCAAAGCACTTAGCAAACCTGTCAGCAACTTAGCTGGAAATCTTGTCGTTTTGGTGTTAGGAACAATGACGGTGATAATAACAGCCGTTATTTTTTTAATATTCGCTATATGATAATTATTCTTTTCAGCTTTAGATTTGTAAGTACATCAACCTGAAATGATGTTTGTGTAAAAAGTCGTTACAAATTTACACTTTTTTTTCTTAGAAATATATAACACTAAAACTGGCATAATAATATTTGCTTTGATAATGTGACAGGTTTTATAAGATATTTAATACGAAATAATATTCACAACATCAAATAACTATTAAATGACGTCACTAAGCATCATGTGATTAATTATACATATGCTGTGGTGTAGAAATAATTTAGCATTGAATTTGGTTCATGCAATAAATTACTTCTAATTCAGAAAGAAACCACTGAAAAGCCACAGTGAGGTAACACAGTTGTGATTGTTAATAATGTCTGTATTGCCAATACACTTAGTGATGTTGTTGTGAAGGTTCATTTACATGTAGGTAATATCCAGAAAATGCAAAAATAAATAAAAATAAATAATAAAAAACATACAACTGAAGACATGAATGGATTATTAGATTCCCAATGCTCAATCATTTGATTCAGACTTCACTGCATTAGTCAGCACAGAAAAGATGTCTGCATGAAAACCATAATGTCCTTGTCAGCTTCTCTAGTAACAAAGCAATATACATGTATACTGTAAAATACTTTATTTTTGCTGGAATTATTTTTCGCTGAAAAGACTTTTTTGGGCGTTTTGTATGGAATTTATTTTCACTGATTTTTGATGAGCTGAATGGAAAATATAGGGAAAAAGGTATATTCGCTGGGTTTTATTTTTACTGAATCATTCTTTTCAGCAAAAATAGCGAAAATAAAGTATTTTACAGTATAGGAAAAAAAGTATATTCCCTAGGTTTTATTTCGCTGAATCGTTCCTTCAGCGAAAATTAATTCCAAGCGAAAATACAGTATTACAATTCAATTCAACATACAGGTGAATACTTTTGTATAATAATACACAGGTGACTGAAATTCAATGTGGAAAAGTGCTCTAAGAATTTGTTGATGTACCGGTACTAGTCAATCACATTTCCTTAATGCCATTGTGTTGGAATAAAAACCCCTGATCGAATCATAGTTTTGACATTGTTAAATGTATTCATAAATGTATGGAACTGTCGGCTTGCATACTGGATTCATTTTTCAATCACTTTTTGAAGTCTTCTCGACAAGTTTTACATGAAACCGGTGGTTTTGCAGATTTGAGTATGAAAGAAATCATTCAAATAAAATGAACGCACTGTACTATTTAAATCGGTGTTTGAAATGCATTTCAACACAGTCCCTCCACACAGTCCCCACAAGAGGAGAATGGACCGATTTCAAATCCATCTAAATGAACTTGATAATTTTGACAAAGCCACTATTATCAAAGTGTGGTTCTGATGTATTGGAATGATATTTCTAACCTATTTTTCTCAGTAGATGGTTAATAGGTGGCATTTAAGGTAGCAAGAAGGGTTTGATGACGTTTTTGAATAAAGCATTCCCTGTCTGTTGTTTCATTCAGAAGCGTAATTTAGTGTATATGATTCAAAAGCCTAAGTAGGGAGGGACAAATTCGCACAAATTGGACAGTCATTGTTTACATAATTATCATGTGACAACAAATTGGTAAATAATGAACACTGATAAAAGTATTTGAAATATGTTTAAAACACATTTAAGAAAGATTAAGGGTTTTTTTTGGGGGGGGTAATTTGGTATGGGGAGCAATTGACCACATTTTTG